GGGGGGGGTCGAACGGACCCCCATGGTTTTTCGCGAATAACTCGCGTAAAAGGCGGCTGATCGCGACGAAACTTCCAGTACTCTTGTGTTTATCAATTTCACACCTACCCTGAAAATTTCATGACCCTGACCCAAATGACCTTTGACCTGTGACCTACTTTTCGAGACCATGTTTGGCTGGAATCTCGATTCGGCGTATGTCGGCTCGCATTAGCCGCGCGTTTGCAGTCTTTTCGTGGTTTCAAGCATTCAAACATGTGATATGATGTTGCCCCCATGCATTAGGGTGGGTGTCAAGGTCACCTGAAGGTCAGGTCAGGTCATTGACCTTTGATGACCTCGGTTCACTTTTTCGAGTTTTACATGTTTCTAGTCCAGTTTTTGGAGCTGAATTCGAATTCAGCAACTATATGAACATTTACGAAGTAGTTTTGGTGCCTTCGTAACATGTTACGAAGCTGTCAGAGGCGGTTGCCACCTACTACGAATACCCTTACTGGTTGACCTGACCTGACCTGACCCGACCTGGCCTAAATGGTAAATGGTATCATCGGCTTCCTCTCGTCACGGGCAACACGCTCGTTTTTTCCGCGAAGCTCTAGCTCGATCAGGGGCGAAACGGCAAGGGGGGGGGGGTCCAACGGACCCCCCCCCTTATACGTTTGCGGCTGGAAAAACACCAATACGGGCGAGGGTTAAGCTGTTATCAGACATCACTTATAGAATACAAGTTATAAAACAAATGTCGAGTAGTGAAGCCGTCAGATCTTAATTACCGCTTTTGGTGTGATATACACACTACACTTCATCTAATTGTCATTCCTAACGCCATAATTTGGTTGTAGCCTGTAGCTACTGTTCTACTTCTAGCCGTCAGTATGATGCTCGAAAACCACTGCAAGTGTAATAATGTGATAAAGATTCCATTAACTATGTCGACTTGTCCATCGGAACCACGTTAGGTGACGCACACATTATCCGTTGCCTTTCAAACCTTGACAATCATTGCATGTGTCATCGTGAAACGAAGATAGCAATTAGCATCAGAGCAGCCAATGACGTCTACAATAAATGCTGCCATCCCGTGTCATACCAGAGAATATCCCTGCCTTCATTACTTTCCCGAACGGTAGAGTCCTTTTTGTGCACTGTTTTCGTAATTGCGTAGGTTGCCGATGATCGAAAACCACTGTGTGACATTTATGTTATAAGTGCCTACCCGGGTAATATATGGCTTTAGGTGTAGTAGAGCAAGAACCAACTTAGAAATCAGCAGTCTTGGCCATTTTCCCGATTTCCATAGCCGTTATTGAATAAAACACTACAACACATAAAAAATAAATATGAATTTTAATGGTGTATTTATTACTACTTATTGCAACACTTTTGGAATCAAAATGGTGGTACATTGATAAGATATTCATAATAAACATTTTGATACATGAACACAACAGTTAATGAAAACGTTATAGGGAAGCCCGTTGGAACAAGAATAAGACCATACATGATGCCAAAACAGAACAAAATAACAACGGACAACCTTTGTAGTTACCGTACCAGCCTGAGCTTGCCTTCGGTTTTAACAACCCGTCTGGTTCAGTCAGATCAGCTGGATTCATTCCGGTTCATCCCGTTTTGGTTTGATTCCGTTTGTCTAAATCCGGTAGTTTCAGTGCCATTGGCTCAGTTCAGTTCAGTTTAGTTCAAAAAGCTCATTTGTACCAGGATCAGTGCGCATCGGTCAAATGTCATCCAGTCTCATTTCCTTCGATTTATTCCATTTCCGTCTATTTTCGACAATTTTAAACCAGCTTCTTCTGATTTAATCCGGTTAAATCCACCTCCGTTGGGGTTGAATCCACTTCTGTCCGGTCAGATCCAGTTGTATCCGGTTTTCAGTTGTTGTGGACGATGGGCAGGTAGTAGACAGGCTCCGTGTGGCTGCAGCTGCTCACGCGGAATGTCGATTCGTCGTCGTCCAGGTAACAGTCGACTGGGGTGTGCTCGCTACCGAAACACACCTCCACCTCGTAGATCAGGAACCTGGAATGGATAGGCAAGTGACGTCAGAGGAGGTCGATGACGTCAGGCTAAGACTGATGACGTCAGAGAACGTAGTTATGGACGAAACGAAACGGGAGGTAAAAGAGCAACAGTACAAATACTGGCAAACAGCTGTATTAAGGCTGCAAATATGATAACTTTTCATAAATGCCTTTTGATGTGAAAATAACCATTTCTTTCAGCTCTGCATGCCTATCACCTAACCACCTTAATTTCATTGTTGTTTGTGGCTGTAGTGTGCACTCCCTTTAACCGTCTCTTACTGGATATGAGGAAAAAAAACTACCACTCAGTTATAACAAATGCGACTGCATTCGCTAAAAACAGTGAACAAAGTTACAGCAAACATAAAGCTTCATACGCCATATACGCACATGTTGTCGATTTTCTGGCAGTTGATCTTGAAGCGGGTGCCCAGAGCCTCGTCCAGCACCCCAGTGACCATGTTCAGGTCCAGGGGCTGGTCGCTGGGTCCGATGCCTGCGTCAGCCAGAATCTGAAGAAAAAAATCATGTTTTGTGACGGATATGGTTCTGAAAGCTTACCGAAGCTTATATATTCATTGTGTATTTGACAGTACCTATGTATCTATGCATTTGCCCTAGAACATCTGTAGATATTTCCTTTGAAGTTTACAATTTCCTTAGAAATTCATATTCGCTGAAACTGATTGCTGATCTGAATTATAGCCAAAGCAAAATATTTGGAAAGGTGCAGTTTTCTGCTACTAATGTATTATCATATCACGCGGGTATAGCATCTGTCTGCCTACGACAGATCCTTTTCCCCTCCCATTTTCCCCGACCTGGAAGGCGTTGTAGCGGGCCACCTTGGCCAGGGCCTCGGCGAAGTAGCTGTGCTGATCGGGGTACACTCCGGTCGAAACGGCACACTTGCCGTGCTTGTCCCATTCGTGCTGCGAACATCGGTAGGGGGGTCAAGGAATGCATCTTGAATGTGTTAGATGCTGAAGAGTTTTTGATTCTAGTATGGGGATTGGGGTATAAAGGGATTATCTCAGATAAAATGTTCTTGCCAATATATGCGCAAGTTATTGCTATTATAAACATATTTTTTATATGAAAATGTTAAGCAGCAACGAACAAAAATGTTTAAGGAATCACCGTGAATTTCGGCGTCAATCACCAAAATTGCTTCAGATAATATAGTTGTCAATTCATAATGCATAGTGCTGGGATAATATCACCGAAAATTGATGAACCATATCTATAGCTGAAACCATGCACGTCACCAGATTCGAACCCACGGCCCCGCCGCCCCGGTACCTTCCAGAAGCTGTAGGCCGTGTTGTCGGCGTAGACATTCGGCCACAGCTGGTGCATCAGAGGCAGCAGGTCGTTCAGCTTGTCCAGGTCGAAGCTCTCTCCATCACAGTAGAAGGGGTCGTCGCCGCTGTAGTTATCGGGCCTGAGAGAGAGAGAGAGAGAGAGAGAGAGAGAGAGAGAGAGAGAGAGAGAGAGAGAGAGAGAGAGAGAGAGAGAGAGAGAGAGAGAGAGAAAGAGAGAGAGGGAGAGAGGGGGGTTAGAGGGTCTGTTGAGAAAATTGAGGTGAAGTAAGCGAGGCAGTTAACCCATGGGGAAGGGTTCCAGTGGTTATTGTGTTTAAGTTTGATATGCCTAAATCTTCTTCATTTCTATTGAAATTTTAGAGCCTAACCCTCGCTGTAGCATTTTAAGGTATGATGCATTAAAGGGCAAAGTGCTGAAAATATCCTTCGGTGAAACAAAATACGCATAATATCACAAAGCTCGTACACCGTTACGAATGTCAGAACTTTTGCTGTGACCGACAAAAAGTTACATCAAATGTCCGGTTTGGCTGAAAATAGCACAGCTAGGGACGTCATTGTCGTCGCAGTGATGTCTCTGAAGCTGCCTAACGACTGACGTCACGAGAATTTGTATACTTGTACAAGTCACCTTGACTCACAAGTCCGTTAACCGTATGACGTCACTCTGAGTCTCCCGAGTCCGTGAGTCCGTGGAATATAGTATGGACGTCATCATACATAAGCTTGTGGACTTTATGTAGCCATCCTGGTTCCTCAGAGTCGGTGGACTGCATGACGTCATCCCGACTCACCAGACTATGAGGACTGACGTGGCTCCAGCTCACCAGAGTCCGTGGACTGACCTGACTCACAACCCACCAGAGTTCGTGGACCGACGTCACCCCGACTCACCATAGTCAATGAACTGACATCAACCCAACTCACCAGAGTCAATCTGACGTCACCCCGACTGACCAGAGTCCATGGACTGACGTGACTGCGACTCACCAGAGTCCGTGGACGGTGAAGGTGGTGACGTTGTCGGCAATGGAGCAGCCGCCACTGTGCATCAGACAGGCAGTCTGAGGCCACTCGGTGGCCAACAGAAACATGTCGGCCGACTCATCCACTGTCGGTGCCGCCGACACGCTGTCGGGGGAAAAAACCAGGATGTGTCGGAGAAACGGGAAAACGAGTTAAAAAAAAAAGGAAAAGGGTTTCTTGCAACATGCAAACAGATACGTGTGAATGTTTGGGGAGCGTGTAAAAGTGTAGAACGCCTGAGAAAACACAAATGTCCAGACATTCAAAGCCAAATTGAAGTGCAAATTTAGTAGATTCAATCCAATGTCGGAGGCGCTGACGCAATGTCTGGAAAAATGGGAATACGCTGGGAAACGATAAAGAAATTGACCGGGAAATTTGCAGATATGTGGGAGACGTGCAAACGGAAACGTATAAATGTGATGTAAAACGGTACAGCCGGAATAATTAAGCGTCGCAATTTGCAGCAATTACAAAATGACATTTCTGGCTTAAAAACAAAATTATTTACATACCAGACGGCGACCAAAAGCAGCGATAAAATCGGTGACATGTTGACCGGGTGAGCCGACTCAGACTACAAACGACAGAAATAAAATCATCACTCAGACAACTATATCTGGCCCCATTTCATAACGGCAGCTGGTCGTTCCCACAGACTCTGTGTTGTGAAGGTGCGCCACTGATGAGCGCTAGTGTCACCTGTGAAATTCGCATGTGATACGGACATTTTGACGGGTGTTGTAATTTTCCTTTGCCCTCGGACGAGGAACGGGCAAAGTTCGCAGTTGTAGGGAGGTTAGATTCTTGGATAATAGCAGCAGAAGGAAGTGAACAGGAATGCCGTTATCTGGATGCCGTCACGAGCAAGGACACCGATTACAATTTCTATCCATAGTACTTGACAACATTCATGTAGGCACATTACTTTGTCTACAGGACTATAGTTCGCTTTTTTGTAAATTTGACCCTCCCTGTAAACATCTTTTTGAACACAGTGCACGAGAATTTCTGCCTGATTTACTGAGAAAACTGGTTAGCGCAGGCACATTTTATTGGAGATGTGAATAATATTTTCTAAAAAAAAAGTTTTGAACACCGATGATTTAACGTCATGTCATTGTCAAACGCCGTACGCAGTGGCGCGGGAACTTCTTCCAGACTGGGGGGGCTGAACCATCATAGAGATCAACCTAGGGTACCCCCAAATCTAGTTTTCTCATCGGTTTTAGGCCACTTATTTTTCAGACCTTGGCCTTTTCAACGAAAAAAAAGAAGAAAATATTTGCAAAAAAAGTGAGGTATTCCGTCTCAGCTCAGTGAAGAAACCACCGTTTTGGCGACCTGAAATAAAGGTTTTAAGCTGCCAAATGAGTTGCCGAGTCAGTAAAATAGGTAGATTTTTCACTCACATGCTTTCTTCCTTTGTGACTCACAACCCCTAATTTAGGGAGGACAAGGTGCCCCAACGGTTCCTGGCCTCATGAAAAGTTGTGAGGCACCGCCCCCACGGCCCCAGAGTTGTGAGGGCAAGCTTCCCCCACTACCCTCTCCCCCGGTTCCCGCGCCTATGTATGAATCTATGAAATTGTGTTGGTAGATTTCCGATTTCGATTCCTCCAGCTGGGGGGGCTCAAATACATTACGAGCCCCCCCAACCGAAAAGTTGGAGGGGCTCAGCCCCCCCTAGCCCCCCCGGTTCCCGCGCCACTGGCCGTACGATTTATAAATTAGTTCAGTTATCATTCCTGACAAAACGTCTAGCCCTGTGGGGTTGTTAGTATGAGCAAATACGAGCTGAGAGTCTGGAAAATAGGAGTCAGGAAGAAATAATTTTGGTAAAGTTGATTGTCCGTGAAATTCAATGTGCGCCAACCAATTTTCTCAGCAATAATGCTAGCAATTCTCGTGTTATGTTCGAAGAAAAGAGATGTTTACAGTAGGGGTCAAACTTAAATAAAACGAACTATACGTATACAGTACACTATACTCGAGCTGGTGAAATCATTCAGCCGATTATACGCTATTGCAACTTTCCTTGGAATGCACCAGATATATTTAACCCAGCAGTTGCTGGGGTATTTCGCCACCCACCGTTTGCTGGGGGGGGGGGGGGGCGTTAAACGCCCCCAGCCGATAACTCGAGAACCAATAGGCGCAGCGAAACGCACGAGGCGGCAAACGAAAGAGCGCGACGAGACGCTTCAGATGAGTAGTTTAAAGTTGAATTTTGAGGTCACAGGTCGGGTCAAGGTCAGGTCAAACACCTGAAATCGGGCTTTCAGTAGCATGGACTTCAGGACTTCGCAATGGGCGCCTCTCGCCATAAACTCTGTCAAAACGGTGCACAATCCACCCTATAAGGCCTACAAGAGTGTCAGCTCCATATAGGGGTCAGTCAAGCATAGGTCAGGGTCAAGGTCAGGTCAACCGGGTAGGCACATATCCCCGAAAATCAAAACTGATATTCGCAGCCTGTGACACATGTTTTATAGGTAATTTGGGGCGTAGAACACGATGGTGACATTCATTTTATCATATGTGTACGTGTTTGGCTCAAAAACTTCAATTAAACAAATTCATGTATCATGGTCGTGAAGTAGTCACGAAAAATTGCCAAGATTCAGTTCAAGATTTTGGAAAATGCGGAACGATAATCAATAATCTAAGATAGCCATTTGATTGATCATGGTATTGGCAGTCTAATGGCGTTTACGGCATGTCTGTATGTCTATTCTGTGATTTTATATGATTTTTTGAACATATGCCGTTTTTGGTCGAAAACTCAGAAATCATGACGTCACTAAAACCTCGATATCTCAAAACATTTTCCGACCGATTTTTTTTGAAACTTTGTCACAATAAACTTCAATCAATTCCCTACAGGTACCCAAAATTTGGCAGTGTTGTACGTAAGTCGTTAAAACGATAACGAAAATGTTCTGTGCTCCTTGCTAAGTAAGGTCGCTGAAGATCATTAGAGGGTCACATTTTACGATTTGCATTTTTACTGTACAATTCGTTTTTTTTTTTTAACAATGATGGATTGGATATTGACGAAGTGTCATTTCTAATCTTCCTCAGGTAAATGATAGTAATTCGTATTCGTTTTGGGCTACACTGAGGTAAAAAATTGTTAAAAACCCTCAGTTTTAACTCTTCCATCAAACCATTAATTTTTCCATTTTAACCATTAATTTTCATTTTAATCAATTTTAACAATTTTTTACCTCAGTGTAGCCCGAAACGAATACGAATTACTAATGATGGATTGCTTCAAGTGCTTTCAGATTATCTCACGTGAGAACCTGTGAAATACCGTGCTGTCTCGCGGTAGCCGTTGCTCAATGGTATCAGCAAACACTATCCTGTATTGGAACGTGTTTTATTGCGAAATACAGCGAAGACAAAACAACTCACACTGGGAAGCATACAAAAATATACATGGTTTCTATGCCTACGTACAAACGGTATTTACAGTACAAATGATTTATCAGTTACAAAAATTCACCCCTTCCAAACACTAAGGTAGCAATTGCGTCATACGACGTCAATAGATTACCAGCAGGTGCAGCAATCCCTAGTAGAAGCGCGTTCTGTTTAAATACGCGCTTTATATCTCAGTATAGCCCCGGTATAAAAAGGGCTTCTTTTTAGCTAAATTTCCTAAAATTAGCGTAATTTCTTATCAAATCCTGATAAATTGTTAATTCACATACTGTCCTCAGAGGTTTGTCGAGCTTGTGATCTGAGTGAAATAGTTTAGAACTCATGCAAAAAGTTTAGTTAGATTGTAGAACGCGCTTCATGAAATCTGCAGTGTTCGTGCCTGCCTTGCTTTTATACTTTTTCCACGTTTTGAGATCAGCAAAGTATCTTTTGTGGAAAATTGTATCATGACTCGATCAAGAGGCGTGCAGTAACAAAAACTCTGGACTCTTTTTCTCGCCGTCGGTGCTATACACTGAATAAATTGCGCACAATATCCATCTGAACATGAAAATAGCCCCAGGTAAGTCGGTATCAGTCACTCACCAGATACACCTATTAGTTCTAGCCGACACTAATAACATCACATAGCAGTCCAAACAACAGTCTTGTGCGCTAGACTGCCTACCCACATGGCTTTTCTCACAGTCACAGTGCCACACTAATCGGTCAACAATAAAATATAATCATGTGAGTCACGAGTAAATACACAGGCATACGAAATCTCCCAAAATATCTATACAAAAAACATATCTCCAGCCGTTGAAGTAGCATAAGATAGTAAAGAGTAAAGACAGTTCCGTACTGCTTGAGGCTGAACTAGACACGACGGTATGCAAAGCAGCTCGGAGGTTTCAAACATGGCATCAGAAAAATTCAATGACTCGTCTATGTGCTGAATCTGACAGCGACCCGTCAGTGACCTGACAGTGACCTGTCACAAGCTGGTGACCTGTCAAAGGTCACGCGGTGACCTATCACGGTGAGTTGGTATGCCGTATGTAATGCAAAGTTCCCCGAGTGCACAGGGCTCAGCGATGCTGTTCCTGTCAAGATGAAGAGCGATGGGCGGCTGGTCGCGCTACGTCGCATTGCTGTAAACGAAAACTCAAAGGCCTGACATATTTGATACAACTGTGGGCCAGAGTTTAGAGGCGCCTATTCATCCGTTTACAGTATTCATTCGCTTGCATTACACGGACAACGAATTCAGCGAACAACTCAGCCGACAGAGCATTAATCAATTCGGTCTCAGTAAAATTCAGCTGAATAGCTCGTAACACAGAATCCGCATCCCACTTTTTCACAATCGTCTGAACTAAGACCTAACAGAAACAGTCACCCTTCAGCTAACAATTAAGTGAGTTACATGTTGAAATCCTTGATGGCTGGAAAATATCAAATAACAGTTCTAACTATCGGAGTTGATGTCTAGCTATCAGATGTATGTACATTACACAATCTTTCCACAGCTCCTAGCTAGTTTATCAAATGCTACGTATAAAAGGGGCTCGATATAAAAGCTTCTCTCGTTTCATCATTAGTGAAGTTCCCCGTGGAACTCTAATCACATATCTAGTATCTACTCAATGTCGTGTCATTAAGTCTTCTTCCCAAGAGAGATGCGCATCTGGCTAGACGCTCTCGAGTTCATTTTTCTGCACAAAAGGCTGGAGCACCCAAGAAGTGCCACCCATTGACCTTCACAGAGGGATCATTTTGATTTGTAAATAATTGGACGCCATGAAAATCAAGCCTGTTCGGTGTCCATGACTTGTTACAGCACTATCTTACCACAAGACATGGGCGCAGGAAAGGGTAATTAAGTCACTGTTTGGTGTTACAGATTCGCGAATGTGATGTCAATTCTTTGGTCAATGTTTCTCTGAACTTTTTCGCCTTTGTTGAGTATCGTAGCAACATTGTACAACATAACACATCGCCTATTCACCCGATAGGAATCGTGTCAATACAAACAACAGTCCATTGACAGTCAACAACTTAGCACACGCCTCGTTTGACAAAAAGGTCAACGTCGCACAAGAAAAACAGCTTCTTCGACTGTTTTGTTCGACTGAAAGGACTGTCATCCTTTCAACACTTCCAGCTCCCAGCGTTCCTGA